GCCCGAGGCTCCGGCTCGTCGACGTCCAGCGCCTGCACGCTGTCAGCCATCAGCACGATAATGATCTCGCTCACAGCCCGCTCCAGTTTATGACAAAAATGACACCCAGGACTTCTGGTTTATAATATAAGCAACATTTAGCTAGTTGTTTTGAAGACACCCAGTACTAAGTAATATTGTGGTTTGAGTACATCTTACTACTGGAAACAAAAAAAAATGTTTATGCTTCTTTAGGAATGGCATTATACAGTACTTCCTCAAAGCAAATATAGCTTTGTCTGAAGTTTCCTTGGAAACTCTGCAATGCACTGAAAACATCTGTAATATGATGTTACCAAAGCAGTTTACATATGTCCTTATATGCATATTTTTTATTATATATTTAGTGTTTTATAGAATTTTTTAAAGTTAACATATGATGTAGATATTAATTTTTTTCCTCTGCTATAAAACGCTACGGACGACATAATCATGGAAATATTGTTTGGAATTTTTTCCTTTATGACGGAGAGCTCAAAGTTGTTCTTAGTAAATTGGCTGCCAGTTCACTGTACAGTTTTACAAGGCCACTCAAGGCAGGACCGACCCAGACCCCGTTTCTAACGCGGCTGAATTTCGTGGCAGTTCCAGTGACTCTGGTGTTCAACCAAGTGCTTCTGACACGCAAGGTGGTGGGTTTGACTCAGAGGTCGAAGCAAGACAAACTTGAAATACTCAGAATGTCATAATGTTGCAAAACCCCAGGAATTTTGGTTGGTTGTGGACTACAGGACACGCAGCGACTGCTCTGGCACCGTGCGGTGAGGGGCCGTTCCTGCTGCCCTGACAGAGCTCTGGCTTCATCCCAGTCAGCTTCCAATTGGGAAGGGATGAAGGGACTGCAGAGATGGGATCTCTGCCTCCAGGGACACGAAGGACCGGGTGAACCCGGCCCAGCCCACCTCGGTTTGGTGGGTTTGGGGATTTCATCCCAAGGAAACAGAGCCCAGCGACTCTGAGACACAAAACTGCTCCAGGCTCGTCGCCTTTGGAACTCTACTCATCATCCATCGGAATTCCGCCCGTGCATTGGAACACAACTCCTCATCCATGGAAATTCTGCCCATGCATTGGAACACAACTCCTCATCCATGGAAATTCTGCCCGTGCATTGGAACACAACTCCTCATCCATGGAAATTCCGCCCGTGCATTGGAACACAACTCCTCATCCATGGAAATTCTGCCTGTGCATTGGAACACAACTCCTCATCCATCAGAATTCTGCCCATGCATTGGAACACAACTCCTCATCCATCGGAATTCTGCCTTGCATTGGAACACAACTCCTCACCCATGGGAATTCCACGATGGACAGCGCTTAGGAAGGTTGCTCTTGTCCAAGGGGAGGTGGGATCTCCTGGAGGTCTCTGTAGGAAGTTTGCCTTTCTCTAGAAACTCTTCACAGAGGCCTGCAGGTGACAGAGTCCCACTGGAAAACTACAATATCCACATGGAATAACTCTTCTTGAGGGAAGGACTGTTTGCTACTACAGGGGAATTTTGTAAGTTCGCTCAGATGGGAAAACGCTGGTCAAAGGCAACAGAATTTTCTATACAATTTTCAAGTTGAAATGCGCTGCAGTGGTATATTTTATTTATTTTTTTTTCCTGATAGCTTGAATTTGCCTGTAACTTGTCTTTTTTTGCTTACAAAATACTACAGTTAACTTTTAGACCTTCTAAATATATTTATTCAGTAACTCATAATCAGGATTCCACTTGTGTAAAAGTCAGGGGTGTTGACCAGAGAAATATTGTCAGTATTTCAAGCTGTGTTCCTTTCTTAGTTTGATATGGTTACTTCTATGTAAAGAAAAAAAAAAAAATAAAATAAGAAAACCCAAAAAAACCACAAAACCAAGAAAAATGAAGTTTAAAAAAAAAAAAAGCTGCTGTAGTTTTCTCCCCAGTGTAAATGATATTTATCAGTGATCTAGCAGATGTAATCTTTTTTTAAAGGTATTGGTAATAAATATTCTGTCATTTGTAAAGATACCTGTCTTCCAGGAGCCTTTTTCCTCCACGTTTTCTTTTACCCAGTGAGAAATTCCACCTCAGTTGCCTGCTGAGACTGTCACTGATGTGAAGATGCAAGAGTTGGTTTAAGTCAAAACTTTGTGGAGGCAGAAAAAAAATAAATCTATTTATACATCTCTGGTCTAATTCTGCTTCTAAACTGACCAAAAAAAGTCTGTTTGGGTGAATTTGGGGTGATAATGTGTATTTATGTCTGTCCAAGCTTTTGGGGCTGGTGCTGTTGGAGCATCACTGACCCTGTGCCCCAGGCAAAGCCCCTCCAGGTACAGCACCAATTCCTGAGGATTTGAGGGAGCACTGCTGGAAATGACTAAATCCACCAAATCCACCTTTCTAATTCTTTCAGGGGTGGCAGCACAGGAGCCATGTGATGTGCTTGGCTTTTCAAAGGAGCAATATTGCACTTGGCAAGCAAGGAAGCATAAAAGTCAAATGGCCCAGTGAGGCAATTTCATTTTTAAAAAGCAAATTTAAAACGACCATTTCCAGAGGTGGGCAAGGGGCACGTTCCTGGGCTGTGCTCCTGGAGGCAGAGGGAAAGAGCCATGGCAGAAGGAATGCACAGAGCTGGGATTAGAGAGGAAAACTGGAATAAATATTTCTGTGCTGTGGGAGATTCCCCTTGGTGTGGGCTGCTGTGACAGTGCCAAAATGTGACACACAGCCCTGAGTGTGGCCTCCCTGCATTCCCCACTGCAGGGAGAGCAAACTGCCTGGGATCATGGAATCAGAGATCCTGTGGGATCATAGAATCCAGGGGATCTTGAAGATCACCTCGTTCCACCCCCTGCCACGGGCAGGGACATCTTCCACTAGCCCAGGTTGCTCCAAGCCCCATCCAACCTGGCCTTGGACACTCCCAGGGATCCAGAGGCAGCCACAGCTTCTCTGGGCAACCTGTGCCAGGGCCTCCCCACCCTCACAGGGAAGAATTCCTTCCCAATATATCTAATGTAAACCTACTCTCGGTAGGTTTAGCCCCTTGTCCTGTCACTCCAGGCCCTTGGAAACAGTCTCTCTCCATCTTTCCTTCAGGCCCTGCAAGGCCACAATGAGATCACCCCAAAGCTTCTCATCTCCAGGCTGAACAGTCCCAACTCTCCCATCCTTTCCTCCCAGCAGAGCTGCTCCATCCCTCTGACCATCCTGGTGCCTCCAACAGGTCAAAGCCCTTCCTGTGCTGGGACCCCAGAGCTGGATGCACTGGAAAAACTCCCTCTTCTCTTGTGCTACCTGAAATGAAGACTTGGCTCCAAGGATAATGAGCACAAGGAGGCAGCTGGGCCAGGAACTGTTGTCCTCACCCTGCATCGTTGGCTGTCCAGTCCAGGTGAGGTTCCCCAGTAGGAGTGGGCAGGCTGGGCCAACAGCTTGGCTGGGAAAATGAAGATACTCCTGCTTTATACCAGCTTGGTTTTATTGACCAGCATGACTACAAGACTGGCTTCTGGCCCTCCAAGCCATCAAGCCTTGAGTCCTTGAAAAGGGGACTCATCCTCCCTGGAAGTACCAAGGACCTGACATGCAAAATATATTTAAATACATTGCATTAATCTCTGGAATATCATTAATGGGGATGAAATTATATGTAGAAATCTTCTTTATTAGGCCACTCGAAGGCATGACATAAAATACTTTCCAATAAATTAATTCTTCTCTTTAGTCTCATTTTTAGGATTTCACTAATGAAATTCTGATTTTAGATTGTTAAATTTGGGTACCTCCATTAAAAGCACGTTTGAGGCACAAACATTGTTATATTAATGAGCTACATTAATTTTGATGGAGCCATGCTATTTTACCCAGATGAGAACTGGCTCATTTATTATAATTATTTTTAGTCTGTAGTACCTGGGAACTCCATTTCTTTAGGCACATTCCAAAAAATTGCTGGATTAACTCTTTATTTTTATTCTTTGTTAACATGCTTAAGCCCATCTGAGGCCAGCTCAATGGAGAGGAAGTTTCTTGGAAGAAGAAGGGACTCTGCAGGACCAGGAGAACTTCATGATCTGCACCCAAGGAGGTCAAAGCCCGAGGTTTAAGGCAGGAGGTTTATTTGGTAACTCCCTTGGTGGATTACACAAGGTAGGTAAATAAATCCCAAACAGAGAGAGCCAGCTCATCTGAGATGGAACAACAGAGAGAAAGGAAAGAGGTTACAATGTAGGGCTTGGATTTTCAGAATTGCTGAAGTTGCCCACCAAAGAGGGGCCCAGCTCGTTGCAGCTCAGGCTCTCCAGAGCACCAAGGAGTCCTTGGCACATTTCTGGAATGAGTGCTGAAAACTGCATTCCCAAGTTGTGTCTTTTTTAGGTGCAGTTGAGGGAGTTTATCTGTTTGTGCCATTTTCCTCTCTGTTTTTTCTTTCCTCCCTGCCCCTCGAGCTTTAATCCCTTGTGCCAGGGATCCCAAACAATCCCTCTTGTCCTTTTGCAGATGCTCCCAGTGATGTCAGAGGCAAGAGTCTGAGCCCCCTGTGGCCTCCTGAACCAGTCCTGATGTCCCTGGGGAGCAGCCACTGGGCAGGGAAGTGCACCTTCAGAGCCTCCCCATCTCAACAGTATTCCCTCATCCTTTCTGGTAAGAAAACCAGGCAAAGCCCTTGTTTTATACTGAAATGTGCTACCTGAGTGCAGAGAAATAGCAGACAAGGTGTCAGCTTTGCACACAACAGTAACCAACCTCTAACCATGCATCAGGTAGACAGTCAAACTAACCTTGTCCTAAATAGCCTATAAAATTCAGAGGGTTTGGGGTTTATAAAGTCCTGTAAATGAGAGAGATATTTCCCCACATCCAAAATTGGTGCTGTAGTTACTAAAAAGCAGGATGTGGGTACCTCTGAGCAGTGCAGGGGACACTGTATGTCATCCATGGCCTGGCCACCCCACACCCAGTTCCCACACAGGAGTGACCTGGCTGCACCCTCAGGGCTCACCCAGAGCACAGACAGCCCTGCCTTTAGCAAGGAATTGCATTTCCATGGAGGTTTTCTGGATTGAAATTCAGACTGTTTATTACAAAGTGTATCAGTGAGGCCAAACGTGGATCCCACTCTCATGCTGGACTTGCTACAGCACCAGAGATGAGAGCACTGGGAGGCTTCACATCTTCTTTTATTCTTTTCCTAATGTTTGGCCCACCTTGGTCACCAGCAGGACCATGGCTGGGTGCCTTGCTGCCATTCCCAGAGCCGTGCCAAGTCCCACTTTGCGTTTTGCATCTCGCGTTGTCAAAGTTAGTTAAAACAAATATCCAAAAGATTAAACTGCCAGCCAGAAGAAAAAAAAAAAAAAAAAAAGCCATTAGCTCTTTTCCAGACTGTTTTTATCCTGTTTCAACCAGGACTTCGTGTTCAGCAGCTCATGGAAGCAAGTGGAAGCAAGTCCTCCTTCCTGTTGGGAATGTGGACACATGGAGGTGACACGGAGCAGCCTCTCAGAAGACAGAGTCATCCAGGGCTCTGCAGTAAAGATCTTCAGCCAAGCTGCTGAACTCGGTCTCCGTGTCGCTGGTGCAGGTCCGGGCCCTCTGGAAAGCAAACCCCTGTGAGGTGGGAGCTGGGGCTGCTCAGGGCTGGGGCAGAGGTCATGAGAAACATCCTGCTTCAAGCTGGTGCATTTAAAGAGAGATTCACACCCAGTGTTTTGTGAGGTCAGAGCTGAGAAAGAGCACTGGGTTCAACAGGAGAATTCTCACACTCCTGCTGAAGTTCTTTTGGGGTTGCTCATCACTCTGTCCCTTGGGCCAGCAGCCCCCTGCACCAGATTCCCATCTGGGTATGTTTTACAAACCCCTGCACCCACAAATTCCCCATGTTTTACACAACCCCGTTGGCCACAGCAGCTACCAGACACCCCTCTGTAGTCAGGGACAAAGAGCCCCAGAAGGAGCTGAAGGGCACAAAATCACACAATCACTAAGGCTGGAAAAGACCTCCAAGATCATCAAGTCCAACCTTTGACTGACACCACCATTCCCACTAAATCCTATTGTGAAGTGCCACATCCACTCAGCTTTTGAACTCTTCCAGGGGTGGTGACTCCACCACTTCCCTGGGCAGCCCTTCCAGTGCCTGACCACCCTTTCAGGAGCAGGGTCTGAGGTGTGAAGTTTGGTCTGAATTCTTCTGAACACACAGCAGCAAAGCCCAGTGTTGGGGCCATGACCTGAGCCCTCAGCACTGAGCAGAGTTGCACAAGTGCAGGGCTGGGGTGACCTGCAGAAGGAAGCAGAAGCTGAGCAGTAGTTTTGCTGCTGGGAAGCCCTCAAGGGCAGCAGAGCAGCTCCTGGGGGACGAGCAGGTTCCCACGAGCCACATGGCCACCACGCTGCAGGGCTTTCATTACCTCACCCTCTTGTTTACGCTGCAAATTTAGGAACTGAACATCCACAACAAACAGCTCTGAGGGTTTCACTCTCCCTGGTGACCTCAGCACAGACCAGGGTCATGTCCTCACCTCTCCTTTGCTGGTGCCACTGCCCTTGTGGCCCCAGTACCAGCTGAAAGCCTCTGGCTGGTATCACATGCCCACACCCAGCTCCCTTTAAGTAAAGAGACAACTGAATATAAAGCAGTTCTGATGATGATGATGTGAAACAGCCTTTGCAAACTCCCATTTTCCAGCTACAGCATTAATATTTGCTATTTCTCATCTTTTTATTTGTGATGCCCCAAGTCATGTTATTTTACACTCGTGGTTTAATTAAAAACAAACATTATAAGATAATCTTTTAAGCCTGTTTCCTTGACCAGATCATGGTGTAAGAACCATATCCAAAAAATCAAACCCCCTTTTTAAGGGGACAAATGAAAATCAAGTTACTGAGCTGTGCTTCCCATGAGCAGACAATGAGGGGTTTTATCTTATCTGTAAGGCAAATGTATTTATCAGAAGTAACAGCGAACGTAATAAGGCTTAAGTCGAGCTTAACAGTGGGAGCAAAACATTT